TATCACGGATTTTTCCATGAGTGCAGTCACGGGATTTTTCCATGAGTGAAGTCACTGACTTCCATGAGTGACAGTCACTTAGTTTTCCATGAGGGCAGTCACGGGATTTTTCCTTTATGACAGTCACGATCTTCCATGATTGACAGTCACGGGAGTCTTCCTGGTGAAGTCCGAATTTCCATGGTAAGCCCGGGGAATCTTCAAGGGGGACAGTCACTTTTCTTCCTGATGAAAAAAATGAAAGTCTTCCCATGGTAAAACACTGAATCTCCATGAGTGACAGTCACGGGAACTTCCATGAGTGCAGTCACGAATCTTCCATGAGTGAAGTCAGGGGAGCTTCCTATGACACCGGGAATTTTCCATGGGAGGGTCAGGGAGTTTTCCCTTTGAGTGACAGTCAGGGATTCTTCCAGAGTCAGTCACAAAAATTTCCAGTGAAGTCATGAGTCTTCCATGAGTGACTCACTGTATTTTCCCCATGTACATTTTTTGGAATTTTCCATGATACAGTCCTGGATTTTCCATGAGTGACACAGGGAAATATTCATAATGATAGTCAAGGAGTCTCCTGGGGACAGTCACTGAATCTTCCAGGGTGACACCCCTTTTTGGAATCTTCTGGGGTGAAGTCCGGGAATCTTCCTGATGACAGCACTGGAATTTCCTGATTGACGCCAGGGAATTTTCCCATGATTAAATATCAGGGGATCTTCCATGAGGACAGTCCTTAAATATTCCATGATGAGGTCAGGGGATCTTCCGAGTAAAGCAGGGGAGTTTTCCAGAGTGACAGTCACGGGAATTTTCTATGGGGAATCCCTTGATCTTCCATGAGTGACAGTCACTGAGTCTTCCATATGAAGTCACGGGAATCTTCCTACTCACTTTAACCCCCACACCTTCATTTCATTTCACTATAAACCCTTTATCTTACTACTCTATACCTTCATCTGTACTTCACCTTACGCAAAATTTACAGCAGCAGCTGATGTCCTGAATATTTTGCTGCTGCATATTTTGTGAAGGTTAGAAAGAGAACATGTAAGGTACTATGAGAAGAGAGCATAATTTTGCATTATTCACAGTAGTTGGCAAGACCTCAAATACCTTCTAATATGCAATCATAGAGGACTGTGAGGGGAAAAGTCAGTGAAATGGGCTTATGGTAGTTCAGATTCCGAGGAACTATTACACTGTGTTGCCGCCCGCACTGCCATCTATCCGGCCGCAGTGAAACTCCAGATTTCTTTGGGTCTGAGTTTGTTTAGTTTCCCCTCCTGGTAATATTAACCTTACCTGGTATTGGTTGAAGTTTAGAGTATCACTTCACCTCCACTCTTCTCTTGATCAGTAAAGTGATCTACCAGAAATATTGTTTCATTTATTTTGTATTTAATTTTCTCTTGTACGTTTAAAGATATATATTTTTTCATTAATGTTAATGTAAAAATTAACTTCAGCAATTTAATTTAGCCTAATCCAACTAAACATATTATATATAAGTTTACAATAACTTGATAATAAACAAAAACAATAAAATATATTGTTTTTCGTTAGGTTTAGAATGATTTTTGCAAAATTACTGCATACACAAATTTTCGCTTGCCTTATTCGGCAAGAAGAGCGTTCCTATTTAATCCAAAATCACAAGTTTTAGCTATACAGCGCGAGATATATACAATTTATCAAAGTAAATTCAACAAAAGCCTTAGCGGAAATAAGTCAAATTGTTTGACTTTATTGGACTATTTAAAGTGAAATCTTCCTAATTGTGTAATTCAATACAGACAAGATGATGAATTATACAAATGAAGAATACCCAGATGTTGTACATGGGTCTAATTCATAATTATATTTACGTATATGTTCTTCCGAAATTCGCCGAAGAAGGAAATCATTCATGGGGACTGGAAAAGACGACTGGAGTAATGGCACCCTGGGCAGTGACAGCGTCACAAATGCCATCCTATCAGAAACATGAGCATCACTATCGCCGCAAATCATGGCAACACCACATACCCATCAAAACAAAATAATGGCACACAGTTCTTTTTGTGGCACTCCTATGTGGTGACATTCAAACTAATCCAGGACCTCAAACTAACGTACTCGTGCAAACCAGCAGATTAGGTGACCCTGTAATCATTGTGGTAAAGTTGTTGGTAGCCGCAGTCGGTCGATAAACTGTGATGTATGTGAAGAGTTGGTGCACCGACGATGTTACTGACGATGTATACGATGGACTAGTAGCTAGGAATGTCAACCTTAATGTGTTGGTGGATGTTGTTATGGTGTTGGTGGAGAGAGTTATGATGTTGGGGGAGAGGGTTAATGTGTTGGTGGATGTTATGGTATTGGTGGATGTAGTTATGGTGTTGGTGTTAGGGTGTTTGGTGGATGCTGTGGTGTTGGTGGATGTAGCTATGGTGTTGGTGGACGTTGTTATGGTGTTGGTGGAGCTTGTTAGTGTTGGTGGATGTAGTTATGGTGTTGGTGGATGTTATAGTGTTTGTATATTTTGTTATGGTGTTGGTGGAGGTTATGGTGTTGGTGTATGTTATAGTGTTGGTGTATGTTGTTTATAGTACTGGGTGGATGTTGGTATGGTGTTGGTGGATATTGTTATGGTGTTGGTGGAAGTTGTTATGGTGTTGGTAGATGTTACGGTATTTGTATATTTTGTTATGGTGTTGGTGGAGGTTCTTTTGGTGTTGCCGGAGGGGTTATGGTGTTGATGCGAGTGGTTAAGGTAGTGGAGGCGGGGATGGTGATGTTAGTGGTAGTAAAGGGCAGGAAGTGATCAGGGACAGACCTCTCAGAAGCGAGACTTTAATTAAGCATCCAACAACACAAGGCACATCTTTAACTTACCTCTGAGTTTCCTTTGAAAGTTCTCCGCCAGCACAGACACGAATTTTTGGTGTAGTTAAAGCTGCATATAAATTTTGTCTGCTCGTGTGACTTAAATCATGGAATTTGTAAATTTCAGTTTGAACAGGCATATTGTGGACAATCAACATTAAAAAAAAAAAGAAAACAATTACTCATTTGCGACAAAATTAAGGTTTAGAAAATTTCAGTAATAATACAAAGGGAAGTAAGAACATTAAATTAAGAGCGAATTTCATCTTATTTTGAAATTAATCATTAATGCTGGTAATTCTTGCGAGCGAACCAACGACCCAACATGTGATCGTATAACATAATTATGCTTCTATATACGAACTTATCGTTGAAATTGATATGAACTGAGAAAGCAAAATATGACGTGTAAATCAGTTTTCTTTTATAAATTATAGACAAATTTTGTTGCATTATATTAATTATTTAGTGGGAGGAGCGCTAAACACACAGGAGTTATACGTTGCCTTGGTGAAAGTAAGACAATCAAATTAGACAAGGATATGGAAGTCTGTTCCATTTCTTTGGATCAAGAGCCCTTCACCGGCTGGTGGAAGATGCAGTTGTAGCCACAGAAGAGGTAAGTGCAGAGACAGACATCACTAAAACGTCACAGTCAAAAGAATATCTTAACTGGCTGATGAAAGTTTAAAGATTAAAATATATATAATTTTCTGAATATATTCTTAACTGAAGATGATATATTTGATAATTATAAACAAAGTATTGAAAATTAACTTTTCACTATGGAAACAATGCTAATATATTTGTGACACTCTTGCACGAAGTGCCTATTGTGACTCACAAAATTGTAATGACACGATTGCAAACAAACCATACCACGGGTGGGGTTTGAACCTGCGATCAGAGTCTCAAAAGTCCAAACCGTCAAGTTAGCCACTGGGTCAGCTAGCTTCAATAAGATTCATCCAACTAGGTTTTGAGACTCTCTGATCGCGGGTTCAAACCCCACCCGTGGTATGGTTTGCAATCGTGTCATTACGATTTCGTGAGTCATGTTGACGGCTTTGATGAAACTTGAGCTAGAGTTCGTCACAGTCATACTAGCGGGAGATTCGTCTGTAAAAACTTGCATTTGTGGACAAAGTGGTGCCTATGCTAACCTTCCTATGGTGTAGAAATATACCTAGTTGGACGAATCTTTTTGAAGCTAGCTGGCCCAGAGGCTAACGCGTCGGTCTGGAGTTTTGAGACTCTCTGATCGCTGGTTCAAACCCCACCCGTGGTATGGTTTGCCTATTGTGTATCTTTATTATTTTATACGATGTAGTTATCTTCGTAAATTACCAAAGGAATTAAAGTAATGAGAAATAAAATTTCACACATTAGGAAAATAACAAAATTTTTATTTAGTGTTAATATGATTTATTTTTGCAAAGTTAAATTATCATTTATAAATTACAATCAAATTTACAGTGAGGTGAGGTAATATAGTACATTATAAAACTAAGCGCCACGCCTTATAGGGAAATGCTAATGTCTGATTTTCTCGTGTGATTTATTTAATATATCTGAATATAGATCAGTATGACACGAGCATATTGATATACACAGGACAGTGAAGCTTCATCACAACTTTCACATGAAAACTTTGCTCTCCTGAAATTTAATGAAATTGCTTTATTAAAACAGTTTAAGAACTTACACAAAAACACAAGAAGAACCAGGTAACAGTTAATGATCCTACGTCAGTGTGTGTCGGGCTCCAGGTAACAGTTAATGATCCTACGTCAGTGTGTGTCGGGCTCCAGGTAACAGTTAATGATCCTACGACAGTGTGTCGAGCACCAGGTAACAGTTAATGATCCTACGTCACAGTGTGTCGAGCACCAGGTAACAGTTAATGATCCTACGTCACAGTGTGTCGAGCTCCAGGTAACAGTTAATGATCCTACGTCACAGTGTGTCGAGCTCCAGGTAACAGTTAATGATCCTACGACACAGTGTGTCGAGCACCAGGTAACAGTTAATGATCCTACGTCACAGTGTGTCGAGCACCAGGTAACAGTTAATGATCCTACGTCACAGTGTGTCTAGCACCAGGTAACAGTTAATGATCCTATGTCACAGTGTGTCGAGCTCCAGATAACAGTTAATGATCCTACGACACAGTGTGTCGAGCACCAGGTAACAGTTAATGATCCTACGTCACAGTGTCGAGCACCAGGTAACAGTTAATGATCCTACGTCAGAGAGTGTCGAGCACCAGGTAACAGTTAATGATCCTACGTCACAGTGTGTCGAGCACCAGGTAACAGTTAATGATCCTACGTCACAGTGTGTCGAGCTCCAGGTAACAGTTAATGATCCTACGACACAGTGTGTCGAGCACCAGGTAACAGTTAATGATCCTACGTCACAGTGTCGAGCACCAGGTAACAGTTAATGATCCTACGTCAGAGAGTGTCGAGCACCAGGTAACAGTTAATGATCCTACGTCACAGTGTGTCGAGCACCAGGTAACAGTTAATGATCCTACGTCAGTGTGTCGAGCACCAGGTAACAGTTAATGATCCTACGTCAGTGTCGAGCACCAGGTAACAGTTAATGATCCTACGTCAGAGAGTGTCGAGCACCAGGTAACAGTTAATGATCCTACGTCACAGTGTGTCGACCACCAGATACGAGCTAATGATCGTGCTTCACAATGTGTCCACTTCCAATATTTATTAAAAATAAATTCTTGTGCTAGAAGGCAAGCTTCTTGATCCAGGCTAGATAATGAGGGTAGCGGAGGTTAACATACAGTCCAGGGTAGTCTTTGTGGCCGCAACCATATCCTCGAGATACAATCCCGGCCAAGACGTAATACCCAGCAGTGTGGCGGCCTACAAGTGGTCCTCCTGAGTCACCCTGAGGGAGATTGAAATATACAAACCTTCACTTTATATCACATGTTCACAAGAACACTGGTAAGTCTACTGGTCCATGCTAGGCAGGTCCATCTCACACCCATCCATACCCATTATTGTACTTGGAAGTTTGTTGTATACATCTACAATTCTGTTTCTTAACCAATACCCTTCTATATCCCTTCTAAATTTAAATTTCTCCAGCTATTCGATGGATAAGAGTTCTGCTTTGATTGGATATTTTCAGCTCGTTGTTTATATTCTTCTTATTATTTGCAGTTTTTCATTTGTACACATGACTCATATCCTCCCTAATTCTACCTCTTTTCAGAGTGCGCAAATTCAGTGCTTTCAGCTTATCTTCATAAGACAAATTTCTGATACAAGGAATAAACTTTGTCTTTATATGAATGTTTTCCAGCACATTTATGTCCATTGTGTGATATGAGGACCAGAAGTGACATCATAATCTAAACAAGGCCTCACCAATGATGAATAAAGTTGAAGTAACCAGAGGATTTCTATTATTTATACGTCTTCATGTGAAGCTAAGAATTCCATTAGTTTTACAGCGTACATTTACGCACTATTGTCCTGGCTGTAAATTACTGCTTACCAGAAACCCTAAATCTGTGGATGAGGTCTGCTCAGTTTATAGGTACAGTACTTATTTTGTTTTTCTGGAAATAAAACCTTGCATTTGTCCACATTAAACTGCATCTCCCTTTTCTATACTGCAACATCAACCTTTCTAGGTCATTCAGTAGCTCTCTTGTGTCCTTACTCAGAATTAATATGATTTCCTAATTTAGTGTTATCGGCAATTTTGTTCCTTCATCTATGTTGTTTATTTATATTGTGAAGGTTAAAGGACCCAGTACTGACACCTGAACACCACTGTTAAGGGGCTCTCATTGTGATTCCTCCCTATTTATGCAAACTCTGATATCTATCGTTCACCTTTGCCTCCATCCAGGAGATAGCTTTTGCTGTTATTCCGTGTGCTGCTACTTTCTTCAACATTCATCTTTGTGGTACTCTACCAAAGGTATTATTGAAATGTTCGTACTTGATATTGTATTCTTTACCTTGGTCTACCGTTTCATATACCTTATTAAAACAAGATTAGTAAAGTCCTAAGGCATTAATTCTCTTCCTAAAAGCATGCTGAAATTTAATGATTATGTATTTTTCATGGGTCTTCGAATTTCTTCCGCAGTTATTGATTCCATCAGCTTTCCTACAAATGATGTTAGGCTTATTGTTCTATAATGTGAAGCAAATGACCTATCTCCCGATTTGTAAATAGTTATCACATTTGCCGTTTTCCACTTGTTTATTACGATATCCGTGGCTCGAATGGAAGCGGGTGGAAACGTTGGTCATGTTTCCTTACACTTGCAGTAAGTACCTGGGATGTTAGTTGAAAGTTGAGGGTCGCATTCCTGGGGTGGCAGTGTCAGTATACCTTATACATGTATAGGACTGGTCTTTGAAATAAGTTGAGGTAGGACAACAGCTCATAGCCTGTAAATGAGCTGAGGTAGGATAACAGCTCTTAGCCTGTAAATGAGCTGAGGTAGGATAACAGCTCTTAGCCTGTAAATGAGCTGAGGTAGGATAACAGCTCTTAGCCTGTAAATGAGCTGAGGTAGGATAACAGCTCTTTGCCTGTAAATGAGCTGAGGTAGGATAACAGCTCTTAGCTTGTAAATGAGCTGAGGTAGGATAACAGCTCTTAGCCTGTAAATGAGCTGAGGTAGGATAACAGCTCTTAGCCTGTAAATGAGCTGAGGTAGGATAACAGTTCATAGCCTGTAAATGAGCAGAGGTAGGATAACAGCTCTTAGCCTGTAAATGAGCTGAGGTAGGATAACAGCTCTTAGCCTGTAAATGAGCTGAGGTAGGATAACAGCTCTTAGCCTGTAAATGAGGTGAGGTAGGATAACAGCTCTTAGCCTGTAAATGAGCTGAGGTAAATAAATATAAAGTATCCTTCAGAGCCAGCTGGCTTGTTTAGTTTTAATATATTTGATATATATATTTTTTATATATATATTTATATTTTTTATATATATATATATTTTTATATGTTATATATAATATATTTATATATATATATATATTATATATATTATTATATTTTTATATATATATATATATATATATATTATATATATATATATTATTTATTTATATATATATATATATATTTTTATATATATAGATATAGTTTTTATTATTATTTATTATATATACTATTTATTATACTATATATTTATATATTATTATATATATATAATATTATTTATTTATATATATATTATATATATATATACTATATAGATATATATTTATCATTATATACTATATATATATACTTATATAATCATATATATATTTATATATATATATATAATATATATATAATATTTATATATTATATATATATATATATTTTTATATATTATTATATATATATATATTTTATATATATTTCTATTTATATTGTTATATATATTTGTAGGACGTGAGGACGAGCCAGTTGTGAGTGTGGGGGAAGTTCGTGAGGGCCGTAGTAGGTTAAATGAAAGGGGGTACGGGGGTAAGGGCAGCGGGACTTGTTGGGGATAAAGTTAGAAATGTTAAATAAGCAGTGGGGGATATAGTTTTGGGAGTGGTTTGGTAGCAATTATTTAATAAATGTATGGAAGAGGGTCAAGGTTAAGGTACCTAGGGGTTGGCAGAGAGCATGGCATTGTTCCTTTGTATAAAGGCAAAGGCGGATAAAAGATGAGTGCAAAAATTATATGGGGGATGAAGTCTGTTGAGGTACCGGTTAAAGTGTATTTGGTAGAGTTATAATTGAAAGAATTAAAGAGTAAGACGGAGGAATAGCGATAGCAGATGAACAGGGGCTTTAGGAAGGTAAGGGGGTGTGTAGGACCGGTGTTTACAGGAAACATATAGTGAACAGTATTTAGATAAGGTAAAGAGGTCTTTGTTGCATTTATGGATTTGGATAAAGGGCGTATGACAGGGTGGATAGGGCGGGCAATGTGGAGATGTTGCTTGTGTATGGTGGTAGGAGGTAAGGTTACTGAAAGCAGAGTGATGAGTTTTTACTGAGGTTAGTGAGGCTCATGTTGAGTATGTAGGAAAGAGGGAAATTTTTTCCCAGTAAAAGTAGGCCTTAGACAAGGATGTGTGATGTCTCCGTGGTTGGTTAATATATGTATAGATGGGGTTGTACATGAGAGAAGTAAATCGAGGGTCTGGCAAGAGGCGTGGAGGTTAAAAGATAAAGAATCACACACAAAAGTGGGAGTTGTCACTGCTGCTCTTGGCTGAGGACACTGTTGCTCTTGGGAGATTCTGAAGAGAAGTTGCAGGAGTTTGGTGGATGAATTTGGCTAGGGCGTGCAAAATGAAGAAAATTATAGGTGCAAGACAGGAAGAGTAGGTTATGAGGATAACAAAAAGATTAGGTTGATGAAAGATTGAATATCAGATTGGAGGGGTGAGAGTATGGAGGAGGTGACACGTATTAGATATTTGGGAGTGGACGTGTCAGCGGGCATGGGTCTATGATAGATCGAGGTGAATCATAAAATTGATGAGGGAAAAAAGAGTGAGTGGTGCACTTAGGAGGTCTGTGGGACAAAGAACATTTGTCCTTGGAGGCAAAGAGGGGAATGTATGAGGTATTGTTTTAACCATCGCTCTTTTAATGGGTGTGAAGCGTGGGTGCATGATTGTTGGAGCGAGGGAGGAGCCTGGAGGCAGTGGAGATGTTCATGTCTGAGGGCAATGTGTGGGTGGGAATATTAATGCAGAGAATTCGTAGGTTTGGAAGTTGGAGGAGGTGCGGGATACCACAAACTGTTGTCCAGAGGGTGAGGAAGGGTTGTGAGGTTGTTCGGACTGGTAGAGAGATTGGAGCGATAATACAGACTGACTTCATGTGTGTATCAGGTTCTGTAGTGGAAGGATGGGCGGGGTAGGGCGGCCTAGGAATGTGGGAGGTGTGGGGGGTGGTAAAGGTGGTTTTTGTAGTGCGAGGGTGGGCGCTTGACTTACAGCATGGCAATGCATGAGCGTGTTTGATAGGAGGGAGATGTGAGGACAATGGTTTTTAATACCCGTGTCGTGCTGTTGGAGTGTGAGCAAAGTAACTTTTATGTTGGGATGCAGGGCGGTTTACCGGCCTGGCCGGTCTGGTGTCCTGGTGTGGGTTGTACTGTGCAGGCTAGCGGAAGGAGGGGGGGTTGGTGGACATGGTGTTAATCTGGCTTGGGGATATGCTCCAGGCGGGCTACTTGTAAGGGTGGGTGGGTTGGTGGGGGGTTTGGGGGGGAAGCGGTGGAGGGAATCTGAGACAGGAAGGGGCGGGGTCTGAGGAACTGGGGGGTGTTGTTGTTTCTTTTTTTCGTGTGTGTGGGGTGTGTGGAGTGTGTGTGGGTGTGTGTGTAGTGTGTGTCGGGCTGTGTGTGTGTGTGTGTGGGTGTAGTGTGTGTGCTGTGTGGGTGTGTGTGTGTGTGTGTGTGTGGTATGTGTGGGTGTGTGTGTGTGTGGGTGTGTTGTGTTGTGTGTGTGTGTGTGTGTGGGTGTGTGTGTGTGTGGGTGTGTTCGTTTTGTTGTGTGGGTGTGTGGTGTCGTGTGTGGGTGTGTGTGTGTGTGTGTGTGTGTGTGTGTGTGTTGGGCTGTGTGTGTGTGTGTGTAGTGTGCTGTGTGTGTGGGTGTGGGTGTGTGTGTGTGTGTGCTGTGGCGTGTGTGTGTGTGTGTAGGGTGTGTAGTGTGTGTGTGTGGGTGTGTGTGTGTGTGTGTGTGGTGGGTGTGTGTGGTGTGTGGGTGTGTGTGAGGTGGGGGGGTGGGTGTTTGTGTGTGTGTGGGATGTTGTGATGTGTGTGTGCGTTGTGTGGTGTGGTGGCTGGGTGTGTGTGTGGGTGTGTAGTGTGTCGGTGTGCGGTGTGTGTGTGTGAGTGGTGATGTGCTGTGTGT